CTATAAATCCCATTAATAGCTGTCCTGCAGATTTTCTGTTTGCCTCAGCACTTCACAGTGCTTGTTCCCATTTTACAAATGGGAAAACTGAGGGGCAGAGTCCAAGCGATTTGCCCAAAGATCAATGCCTGGAATAGCCCGAACACCAGCTGAATCCCTGTTCTGTTCCTTAAGGGAGTCTAAACTGGCCTTTCTGCTTACTAATCCCACCTTCCGTTATGGGAATGGCGAGGTCTGTACAAAATCTCACTTTTCATCCCCAAGTCACTTTGGGCTTTGCCCTCAAGTCACCACCTGCAACCAGCAAGAGCTGCCGCGCTCTTCCGGGCTCTCGTGGGTTCCGGGTGTCCAAAGAAACTCAGCGTTCCTGCTCCTCGCTGGGTTTGTAAAAGCCTGCAAAGCTGCCTAAGCGGTGGGCTCTGCTCCTCCTGGGCGTAGCTCGTTTGGCTGGCAGGGCACTGTGCCCCAACCCAGATCCGGGCCCCGTTGGGATGGGGGCTGACCGGTCCGTCTCTGCCCTGCGGGTTTTTGGGTGGCAAGGTGGGATGGGCCAGGGACTCAGCGTTCCTGCTCCTCGCTGGGTTTGTAAAAGCCTGCAAAGCTGCCTAAGCGGTGGGCTCTGCTCCTCCTGGGCGTAGCTCGTTTGGCTGGCAGGGCACTGTGCCCCAACCCAGATCCGGGCCCCGTTGGGATGGGGGCTGACCGGTCCGTCTCTGCCCTGCGGGTTTTTGGGTGGCAAGGTGGGATGGGCCAGGGGTAGAACCCAGGTCTTCTGAGCACCGGGCGTGTGCCCTGACTATTGGACTGTGTTGCCCGTCTGTGCCCCAGAGAAATCCCTGCCCACTGGCTGCTGGACTCCCAGACCAGTTACTGTCACATGGCTCCTGAGTCTGATGCCGGAGATGCTGGGCTCAGTCTCAGTAATGTGACCATCTCCCTCCCCCTTCCTGCGGCACCCAGCGCTCACCCCGGGACGCACCCTTCCCAGCACTCCCTGGGTCTGGGTGTTTTTTGGCGGAGGAAGGGGGATCATGCGCCCCCTGACAGGGTCCATGGTTTAAAAGGGAGCCCAGCTGGTTTCATCTCACACCTCGAGAGGTCTCCAGGTGCATGGGGTGGGAGTGAGGGCGGCTGGTGCCTGCATTTAGGGATCTCTGAACTTCTACGTTTAATGTCTGAATGAAGCAAGGGGGAGGTCTGGGGAGCCTCCCAGGGGTCCTGTGCCGGCACAGCTGGGCTGGAAGTTGGTGCTGAGGCCTCTTGCCCCCCAACCCTCCTGCGCCTCCTCTGACACCAGCTGCCTGGTTCCGGGAGCTCCTGGCACTGCCTTTTCTTCTCTCCCATTTCGCGGCCTAGATAGCGCGCCCACGGGCCAGCCCACACAGCCTGTGCCGGCTGACATGCGCTTTCTCCAAAGGTTAGGTGCCCGCCCACGCCCGCAGGGAGTGGCACGGGGAGCAGGTAGCAGTAGGGTTGGCTGTGCCTGGCCTCCACGCTGGCACAGACTGACCTAAGCGCACTGGCCTGGCTCGTCCCTGTGGGGCTGCAAAAAGCTGCTGCCTGGACCCACCGGCAGGGCTCGTCTGCTACTGTGAACGGTGTCGGCCCTGAAAGCCGGGAGCTGCCCTTGGGTGCTCGCCTGCCGGAGAACCGCCCTCAGCTCTTCCTGCCCTGAGCCCAGTAACGTTTGGGCTTTGATTGCTGCCTTGCTCAGCATCCTGCTTTAGAGCCTCAGGCTTCCAGCTGTGCCAGGGTCCTGCCCTTTGCAACCAGCGTGAGGTCCTGATCCTACCACCGGGCC